GAACCATAGATCATGTGCTTGACTGGTGAGCATCCTACCAGTGAATCACCGAAACACCATTCATAATTTTGAATAGGATTATTTTGCCTAGTGACTGATTAACTGAGGATGCGACTACCGATCTGTCTTATAATATATCCTTTCCGTTTTCATTCAGTCCTCTTCTTTCCCTTCTCCCTGTTCCTCTCTAGTTTACCGTCATTATCCATCATATCGGCTTGCGTATAATTCATTTAAAATAATACCAATAAGAATCATAAGGGTGGTATTCGAACTTTTGTAACTATGACAGATTTAAACAAATCCATTCACCATTCAAAGTGATATTGATAATATGAGCATATGTTTGAGCATCTGGAAATAAAGTAACCTTCCTGTGAATATATATGTCCATATATGCAGATGTATGAAAAACATGTTTCCAGCTTACCGAAAGCCATTTTCCTGCAGATTTTTCCTATACACAATTGCTTATTTCTTTGATGTGTGCAAGTCTGCGTGTGTGCGTGTGTGTATTTGTGTGTTTATTGGTTGAAATAATTAGGTAAACAATTTTTCTGTCCTTTGTTATGACTTTTGGATGAGTTTGCACCTTCTTCTCCTTGTCCTTTCCCTTTTAGTATTTTCTGCTACTGGAATTTAGTACGAATTTGTACAAAAATGCATATTTTAAGCCATTATAGACAATTTATCAAACTATTATATAAATTCCTGGCTTGGAAACAAGGAGATTCTGAGGATAATATCAATTTTACGGGTGTGAAACGAGAAGAGGCAAAGCCAGTTAAATAAATGAAGATTGAAAGAAATATGTGGAAATACTGAGTTCACAGTTTATATATATATATATATATATATATTGATCCCTTGTGTTCCGAGTGGAATATAGGGCTTCAACAACATATCTCCACTTTGTTCTATTCGCTGCTGTCCTCTTCAGTTGGCATACGACTGCCCATAATCTTTCATCTCCTCCTCGCACAATCTTCTGCATCTCAATCTAAGATGACCCAATCGTCGTTTCTTGAGCCACTTCTGGCGCTGTCGTGACATTAGCCTGGCTATTAAGGTTGGGTATACAATGCTTCATTGCGGTCTGTCTTAGTCTACCCCTGTGAAATCTGGCCTTTCCGAGCTGAGGATGTGCAGCGGCTCTGCGTATTCGATCACCCCTGTCTCCTCAGGATTGTTTGCGTTCGAGTAATTCTGAGGTTGGGCGGCGTGTGTTTGAACACACTGGAAATCACCATTCTCTGAGTGTGGTCATCTTGAAACACCGGCTTCAGTGGCTTGGACATGTGCTGCGAATGTCATCCCAGAGGCTTCCGTACAGGTCTCTGTTCGCTAACCCTGTGACGGGATGGAAAAAGCGGAGAGGTGGTCAGTCCATGACGTCGCATTGTGGGATGAAGGATATTTATGCTAGGTTAGCATTGGTCGGTGGTTGGTGTCCGAGAAATAGATCGAAACTTTATCGGATATGGCTAGGAGTCGTAACCGATGGCGAAAGTGTTGCAATTTCCTTCTTTCCTCCCTTCTAGATGATAGTTGACAAATGCTGTTTGAACTTGTTAAGTATGACTGTTTTCCTTTCAGATGAAGTTGTTTATCCATTCTCCACCCTTATTTTACTTTTACTCTATGTTGATTTATAATTACTGTGTGGCACATCTTCTTGGTGCCATATTGTACCAAGTTTTTGCGTTAAAAGAAATCATCGTTTCCCATTCGTTTTTCAATCAAAGGCCTGGCGCGCGGTCTCCCCAGCATATGCCCGATTCATCTCCATTTTCTCCTACATATTTGTTGAGCGATTGGCTCTTGGTTGGTTTGTTCTCAGACAGAGTTTCTTGTTGCTAATTCTTTCTGAGTGGCTCACCATTTGACCTTCAGTATGGAGCCAACGAAGGTAGCTGTTGATAAAAGTCTGCCGTAGCCTGTTGAAAGTGCTTTTTGTGATGGGTCAAGTTCCTGGCCGATATAGAAGAAATGACTGACTTGTCATTGGTGTTGAAAATCCGAGTCTTGTTCTTTATGCTGATTGCAGAAGATTTCCAAACCGATTTCAGATTGATGAAGGTGTATCTTGCCTTCATCCACTCCACCTGTGGTTGGAACGATGCTTCTTAGATAAGTGAAGGCAGGAAGTAACCTCTGTCAAATCTCTCCCTTTGACGGTGATTGGTGCTATTTGTTGTTACTGTTGGTTGGTTATCTTCATCACCTCCGTCTTCCCTATGTTTACCTGGAGTCATGTCTTCGATTAAATAATAATAAGTACTATTGCCTTCACTTCTGGGTGGAACATATGGCTTCATTGGCACATCTTTATTTCACCGTATTCTGTGTAGTCGTCTTTAGTCGGCTCCACAACCATCCATAGGCTGTTATCTCTCCATCACACGATTTCCTCCATGTCACCCTCGGACTAACGCCAAACTCGTCGTTTCCTATTTGGATTTCACTCGATGGTCTGGTTGGCGATGTCACTGAACAGTCTCCTCAGAGTATGTCCAATCAATTTTCATTTCCCTCAACATCTTTTCTGGGCTATGGTTTCTTGACTGATTAGTTGCCAGAGTTCCTTGTCCCTCGTACTTTCTGACCATCTGATATTCACTATGTAGGCAGAGAAGGCAGCCGTTGATAAAAGTCTTCAGCAAACTGCTGGGAATGCTTTTGGTGACGTGTCAAGTCTCTGGAACCGATTAAATAACTCTGAGTTGAAATACTTTACATCAATTTCTTGAAAATCATGAAAAGATACAACCACATGTACCTTTTTAGACTGCTGTGAAACAAAAGAAAATAATTCATTTTTATGTAAGAATGATATTATATATTACTGATTATTATGAGTAGTTAGAAACCACTCACCAGTAATTCCTAAACTAATTAGAGTGGTTTAAATAATGAACAGCCAGGATTCAGTCTATATAGTTGAATAGGTTTAAACTAACAGTAATTTGGTTAGCTATATGGGCAAACTGGTATTACATAGAATCGAATTTGTCATTTGAAGGTTACATAGTTCACTGGTAGAATTCACCTGCTGTTTGACATGAGTGTTTATCGATCAGTAGTATATACCATCAGGCCGTTTTGCTTGCATTCTTGATTGCCATTTACGGTGCTAAGCAGATCACATATTGTGGTTTCAATACTTTTGGTTCCTGAAGAAAACTGTAGTGAATCTTTATTTCGAACTATGTATGTTTTTCTGGTGTTGAATTTTGATTTTACTTTTACAGTGGCTAAGAGTTTTTTAATTGTTATTTAAAATAATATTAAGATAAAGTGTAGCTATTATTCCACTAAATGTTTTCAGAAATGAAACCTGAGTTATTTGACTGCTTTTACTGTAAACAATGAAAGTGTTAGAATGCCACATAAACCTTGCATATTCCTGTTTATATTGAAAATCTCTCAGGAGTTGAAAGTAACACAGTTCACTAAGTTATTTACTGAAATTTTGCGGGGTCAAGATACTCCATCACTGTTGGCCAATAAGATGAGTTGTTAGTGTTTTGAAGTTCTAAAAGTCATTTAAATCGTTAGAAGTTTATTTTGGTATTTCACTTGTTAAAATAGTGAAATTAAGGCATCATTTATTTATTATTCTTATATGAACCTGAATAACCAGTGCTATCCTTCAGTTATGCTTTCATTAACACCAAACGTTCTGAATATAAGAGGGGAGAAATGAAGCTAAATGCGAAAAAATGCCAGAAATAGCAATGATATACAAAACATTCTTCAGATCAACGGGAAACGGTGTGCCATTCACACTTATTTTCAGAGATTAATCCTCGTAAATACGTTGCAACATCTCCTATGCTTTAATTCAATTTTAGATTTTCCCGTCGATTGATTGGACCGAAGTGCTTGGTATAAGGTTGACATATCGGCTCTTTGTAAAAATGCCTCAACGACGTCTGGTCATGTAACTAGTAGTCAACTGGTGGATGGTGACTAGCACTGGAATCCAAGATATGCATTTTGTCCTATTGGGGACTCGCCGACTGGATGTACCTGCATTCCCCAGTGAGTGACGGTGCCCCCACCGAGGCTCGAACCCTATGCCCATATTCGCCATCCACCAGCTGACTTCTAGTTACATGGCCAGAAATCATCAAAGCATTTGCACAAGGAGCCGATATGTCAACCTCAGACCAAGCATTTTGGTCCAATCAATCGACGGGGAAATCTAAAATTGAATTAAATAATTAATATGAGCCGTTCCACTGCTAGTCACCACCCACCAATTGATCTCCTATGCTTAATAACAGACCTATAAAGCGATACTGATGAAAGGTCTTCGGAAGCATATCCAACAACCTCTTCAAGAAGAAGTATAAGCGATTCGTCCAAAAAGAAATTTGAAATTTCAAAAAGTAACAAATTTGTAGAAGAAAAAGCAATTGAAGTTTCCCACTTAATAAAGGGTCCTTTGTGGAGAAATTTAGTAAGAATAATAAAAACAAACAGTAATCAATCAAAGTGAATTTCCTAAGTTTAGCCTATCCGCATTCCTACTTATATTCTCTAGGATAAAATTACTGCCATCATTTCCTATAAGTTAGGGTAACCTAAGATACAGAATGATCAAGGAGGGCTGTACTAAGCAGTCCCTACTACACAACTACTTCCCACGTCACTTGTAGTGCTTGCTAGCTGAATAAAAGTAATTTAAACACCAGTTAGCTGTATTCGTTCTTTGAAGTCGACCTCGCCTGTGATGTACTCGAACTATCTCAGTCTAGAGAGTGGAGTCAATTCAAACCATACAAATTCACTTCAGTCAGTGGTGTTTTGTAGGCCCTTTAGCTAGAAAGCAGATTATATATTGTGATCTGAATATTCAAGATTTTCAGATGAGATTGTGATAAATTGTGTAATTTACAAATGACTGCACTAATTCTCAATTTTTTATCTGATTTTATCATATTTTTGTTTTACAAGAATCTCTTAATCTTTTTAATTTCTTCTTCTACTACTAGATTCATCGAAATCCTGTTGGAATCGTTTGAAAAGTCCTAGTCATTCACAACACTGTTCTGCAGAAAAAAATGAATTCATGCCAAGTTACGAAAGAGAGTGGAATGAAAATGACGACTTTCAGTCATCCCGTAGTCATAATGGAAATGAGGATAGAATGAAATTAGACATTAGTCCATCGAATACAATACCTTTAAATCTCTCCATAGACAGCAAAACTAATAACAACAATGATAAACTGTATGAAGGATATACTAAATCTATCAGTCCATTTGATATGATTAAGTCTGGCGCTTTTTCATTCCCTTTTCAAACTCACACCACTTGTAATTCACTGAACAGTGACAATCAATCCGTAGGCGATCAATTGCAGAATAACCAAGACAACAGAATGTTGACGATGACATCAGACATCTATAATTCAGCCAAAATTAATAAAAATAATGCTAAGCAGAGTGGTTTATTACCAAAGACAATGGGAAGCGACTGGAAGTCTCAACAGTTTTCTCCATATCATAACATTAATCACAACCAAAGTGATAAAGACAATAACAATAGTAATGGTAGTACCAGTATCACTGAAAATGACAATAATCTACAGGATCAAAAACATCAAATTAAGCATAATATTGAAATGAGCGCAGAGAGAAATATACGCAGTGGTTCTACAACTTCGACAAAAACTCGACGATCGAAATATGCCAAACCACTTAAATACTCCCAACTGTAAGTCATTTAAAGAGTGGTTTTCAGAATTATGCAAGTATTATCTATGTTATGGATTTCACTATAACTATTATTGTTATTATGTTTTTTTCTTACACTAGTGACGCGTAGCCTGCCTTTATAAGATATTTTAGTTAATAATAATAATACCCAATGTGGTAATGTCATAGAACATAAGAGACATCTGTGAATTTATCGAATTATTTGTGTTACAAAGAATAAACTCACTGATGGTGGCAAATTGGCAGATGTTAGAATCCGTAGGCTGTTAGATTCAACCTCAATGACTCGCCTATAAACCTAGTGGTCATGGATCTGATCCGCAGTGGAGTCATTTGTGTGCACAAAGTAAGACGAAACAGTTGTCTAGTACTTCCTGGTTTACAGTGCTTCTCTAAATGGTTACATCTGGTAATTTAACTTGAGATGGATTTAGAACTGCTCTTTAAACTCTTCGGAACTGGTTTCATATTTAACATACTAATATTTCATTTTTTTTACCATGTCATTTCTTCTGCGATTTGAGCAGCCTCAAATATGATGTTTACATCCCGTGCCCCTACATTTACCCCACTTCCATCACATGAAGACTTTCAGCCGAACGATTTCTTGAATGCTCTCACTAGCCCGTGTGACGCAATCTAGAATCAAGGAATCTTCTTGCTTCTTGAGAAGAATAATTTTATTCTTTCCGTGCTTTGAAGTCTCCATAGAAATAAAGATCTTGTTTTAAGAATAGGAGTTACTAGTCACACACACATACACACTCAACTTTCCTTTTTTCCGGGCTACTAAAGTAGACGAGGTTAAGTCATTTCGGACTAGATAGCTGGCTTTCTTCACTTAGGGAATCTGTAGCAGTACACAACCATGCCTGTACTGAGAATGAAACCCAGTCATTGGTTTAAGATTTAGCAATTCATGAAAGCGATACTTACCACTTAGTAGTCCTCAACTGGGACGAAACAACCGTTCAGTAGTGCTCTATTTGTTTCGAAGACTCTCTAATCAATGCCAAGTGAAAACGAAATCTACACTGATATTATTGTTATTATTATGCCTGATTAATCATTTAATTCTTTTTTCTATTCATAATAGTAACGGTGTCAGTCAATCCGTCATTACTTCTGGATCAGAGGAATTCTACAAATCCAATCCTTTTCATTCAGTGAAATTACACGATGAACGACATAAACCACATGGGATCAAAGTTTATGATAACGGAAAACTTTCTCACGTTAAATGTCGACTAGAAACTAAAGATTTATGGGAGAAATTCAATGAATTAGGCACAGAAATGATTATTACCAAATCTGGTCGGTACGTGTGAGATTTTTATTTTCGCATAACTTATATTTTTACTCGCAATAATCAATAAAAAAATTTCCGATGAGTTTATTTTACTGAGGTCTACAAAATTCACATGGGTTTTATTATTTAAATCTGTTTATACCTAAGTTTCTAAATCGTCATTACGATTTGAAAGTAGTCTATGCTTTCATTCATTCATTCGTTTGTCTCTTTCTAACTACTATATTCCTCACTTAGAATTCATGCAGTGTGTTGGACGTCTAAATTAAGTCTAGTTGCTATAACACGAGCAAAATATACTAAATATTTGTTGGCGGATTTCATAATGAGCTGATATCAGTTAGAGAACCATTGGAAAACCTACAGGGAGTACTGAATAGCCAGCTGTTTCCTCCTAGTTTGAGATTATTCAGCAATACGCACCTACCACCATGGTTCGAACCCAGGACCTTCTGGTTAAAAGGCCAGAGAGCTCGTAGACCATTAAGCCACTGGGATCTGATCCAATGGCCAGTCCATGAATTTCAACTTCTGCCAATTCATGATTTGGCACGACCACTGGCGAGTATCTCGGTGGCTTAATGGCTTACGAGCTCGCCTTGTAACCAGAAGGTCCTGTGTTCGAACCGTGGTGGTGGGTGCGTACTGCTGAACAGTTCCAAACTAGGCACTGTACAGCTGTTTCAGCTGTGAGTGAGTATTTTAGAACTTTTTAGGAACGAAAGACAAAAATGTCTCTCCTGATGGTGTTGACTGCGTTTGATTGTCTTCGGAGGTTTTTTGTATCTTCACGTGAATCTGCATTGATATTGATCAGTTTGCCAACAAGATCAATACCACCTAAAAGATAAATTTCATCGACTGTGAAAAATACTATATTGGTTAAAGTGGACGTCCCATTTGACTTCTGATCCAAGAACAAAAGTTAGCCGTCAAAAGATATACATACAGCTGCGGACGCCAGTTTGATTGGGAAAATGTAAGAGTTGTAGAAAGCAGAAATAAGGAAGATTTCAGAGAATTTTTGGAAGTCTCGTACCCGAAACAATCTACACTTAAAAGGCATGTTGACATAGATCAAAATAGTCAGTCAAATTCTAGGTCATAGAAACGATCAATAAGACGACTTTTAAAGACACCAGTCACAGCTAAGACTCTCAAGAGAGACATTCATAGAGAGTTTTAAGAACGCTCATTACACATTGAAGTAAGGGGCACAGATATTATTCTGTTAGACAGGGAAAAATCCAGAATTAAACTATTCAACTAAGAGAATACAACCACATCAAGAAGACTTCAAGCATATTTTCCTTCGCTCAATGATTGGTGATTAAATGAATGTTTTTATTTTACATTGTCATAGTAACACACTCTTCTTGAGTCCAAAAACTAAAGTTTAACCTTCTTATGTGGATATTTACTTTCTTTTCTTAGACGAATGTTCCCTGTAATTCGTACATCATTCAGTGGATTAGAACCAGATACTAAATATCTAGTTCTAATGGATATTGTCCCAGTGGATTGTAAACGATATCGATATGCCTATCATCGTTCAAGTTGGTTGGTAGCTGGTAAAGCAGATCCAGAGCTGCGTTTAAGGCATTATGTTCATCCAGATTCACCATTCACAGGTGAACAACTTATGCGACAAACCGTATCATTTGAAAAGCTGAAATTAACCAATAATGTATTGGATAGACAAGGCTATGTAAGTTAATTGTATACATTTTCCTGATTGATTGGTTGATTGATTATGTTGTCGGAGTGAAATGCTCAGTCTCTGTTAGCATGTATCGGCTCCTAGTACGGACGCTCCAGTGATGTCTAAGGATTATTCGAAAGTTATTTTTAGTTGGTAGCAATCATCAGCGGAGCTAGCTAGCGTTTGAAACGAAGGGTGCAGAGATCCAGTCTAACTGGGAACTTCTGAAGACTGTGACTTCATCAGTGAAGAAATTCATCGATGTTGTTATTTGTACAGTAAAGTTCTTTTATGAATCTGTACATCATTCACTAAACAAAACTGTCAATACCATCTTAAAACAAACTAGTGCGGACTTGTTTATGTTTATTTCACAACAGAGGTCATTTTAAATTAAATATTCTGTCCATCTGTCTGTTCAATTTTTGCACGTAAGATACGCAGTCAATTAGCTACACTAAAATCTGTAATTGTGATTAATATGTATGACAGTGTTACCATTGTATTATATTTATTTTGTATCAGTTAGCGATGGACACTCATTTCTTCTCACACGTAACTCATCAACTAGATGTACGTACGTCGTGGTGAGTAATACTGATTCTAGGGAAATTCGAACGCAGAACTCATCGTCTAAAACGTGAAAAATCTATGCGCCAAATTATTGAAATATACAAGTAAATAGCAAGACACCTTCTCAAAAACGCCAAATGTTAAAACAAGGTTTCTCAATTTGGTTCAATAAAATCTAAAAAAATTCAGAATAGAGATGTAAGAAAAGTTATGTTTAAAAGGAGGGGAGATTATGAGCAGTTTTAACAATACATAATTTGAGACGCCTCAGGAGTGCTCACATATAACTGCACCAGGACTCTAGCCCAGGACCTTTAGGTTACGAGGCCAGCAAGTGAAACATTCAACCATGTTTTGTTTATTCTTTTATTCCTTTAGGTTCCCAGTTGAACATGGAACTTCAAGCTACAGCTTCGAAGTTTCGGTATCAGTGGTGTTTATTTTTTACTGAGTGGGGTTGCTAGCCTCATGTCCAACCTTCCCTCCTTACTGGTCTTATTACCGGCTTAGCGAGGTAAAGGAATGAGTCGACCGGAGATCGAACCCTGAACCACATACGTGGTTGGCAAGCATTCTACTGCTAAGCCACCGACGCTTTCAACCATCTGGTTGGAATTTAATGATACATAAATTCTAACTTTTTTCAACTCACTGTATAGCTTTATTGCCAGTTAATGCCACTGATGAGAATCTGCTTCACCCCTATTATGTTGCACTTCACCTTGCACGACTTTTCATTGGAACCCCAGGACATCTATCATGGAGCCACTAATGAGCGGGATACTGATATTTTGATTTAGGTTTCATTACTTGGTAGGATGAAATAGAAAATGTATAAATAAATAAATAAAATCCTTCAATTATTGTTATGCACTATGATAAAAATCGGAAAAGCCAAAATAAATTTTTAAAAAGGGGATATCACAAACTGCTACCTTAATTATGAGGGAAAAAAACAACTACAAAACTACAAAAGTTATTGAAATTTTTGGATCTGTTGTTGCTTGATTTTCTCAATGCGATATGCTTGATCTCTCTTTGAATATGAGCACTTAGCAAAAAAGTTGCTATGATGCCTTTTGGACAAGAGGTAGTTCCCCTGGCCAAATAACCTAGTACATAATGCTAAGTTCTTTGAAACGATAGATGTTGAGTTTCAGTCTCATTGAGAGTATTATTACTCAGCTGGACTCAGACACATTTATCTGATAAGTCACAGACAGAAAAAAATGTACATCTAGTATTCCTCTGAAAGTCATCATCAGTTATCATCAACATTAACTTCTAAGTCATCTTACTGGAAAGTTTTGAAAATTAAAAACATATATTACTTAAGTTTCAGTGAAACAATGTTATTTAACCGATACAACTGAGGGTACTGTTTCGTTGTATAATACATCTAATAAACGAACCGAAACGAAGGTATATAATTATCACCCTAGTATTCATATGTTATCAGTTTACTAAAATCTCATATCAATGATCTAGTGAAATGAGCTTCAATATATACTCCATGGATTTTTAACTTTATAACAAACATACCTTTTATATTTGTATAGCTTTTAAATACTTTTATGATGTTATACAGTTGATACAGGCCAGCGATGGAATTCGCAACATGTAGTTGTCCTAATTGGAACTCGTCAGGTGTATTCAGTTGATAGATCTTAAATAGGTCCCTTATTCATCTGTTTGTCACCATCAGCTAAATAACATCATAACAATTCTCAAACAGCCCTACTAACTAGGAGGCGACGTCGATTGGGCACTAGTCAGTGACTAATGTAATGTATCTAGTCTCTTGTTTGGTGCAGACTGAATTCTATCAGTAAAATTTGTAATGTGGCCAGCATTATAGGTGGCTCGCCATCACCGATAGCTTAGTGGTAATGTCTCTGATTGGAGCACTGGGTGACGCTGGTCCGAATCTCAGAAGGGACATGAGTTCCTTCAAGGTTGTAGAAACACCTTGATAACTAGTGAGTATCAAAAAGCACGAAATCTAGGTCCAAGGCATCCTGGCGATTGCCTCCTACTATTTGATATCAATAGGAGGCGACGTGTTAACAGTGACAGAATATTTCAGTTCAATGTAAGCTAATCGGTGGTAAATACAAAATAACTTAAACAAACTGTTAACACTTTTGTTTATTTTACCTTTTATAGATAATTTTAAATTCAATGCATAAATATCAACCAAGAGTACATTTAATTCAGCTGTCAAATATTATTGACAATGACAATGATAAAAATCATCAAGATGTAATTAATTCATTACTGAATACAATAACATCGAAATCACTTGATATTTTACCAACAGAAAATATTAAAACATTTACATTTCCTGAGACTATTTTCATTGCAGTTACTGCTTATCAAAATCAGTTAGTAAGTTCACTTTTAACCTTTTTAATTAACTCATCAACTGACAGGCTTTTTTTTTCATCAATACTAAGTACTTTAAAATAATTCTTTACCTTCAGGGCATCAGTTTTAACCTAAACACTTTCTTGACAAATGGATGGTATAATTTTATCATGACTACAAGATCAACCTATTTTGATGAGTACAGATAGGTACAGAATTTAATTCTAAAAGCTTATCAACTGCTTCAGAAAGTTTATTGTCAAAAAGACAGGTTTTTTTTTAGGAAGCTGCAATACTTTCAGTAACTGCTACAGACAAGAAGTTAACTAGTTATATTTGTTATACTTCTGATTCCTGTTTTAGTAACAGATACATCATTATTAATTCTGCAGGTCAGAATTCAATATCCAACCTAATATTAAGCTTCATTTGTTAAATTTTTGTCATGAACCAATATCATCATTCACAACTTAGGGGGCAGTGAACAGCTGGGTCTCCTTATCAGTGCACATCCACGACGCCGTCAGCGACTGAACCTGAGACTTTTACGAAACCAAATCTGTTGGCTATTGAGACACCTGGGCTGTAATTCACTGACTCATGAATCCTGACTTTGTCAATTCGTAATACAGCACTACCGCCAATCACTGCCTTTGATAAGCATCCAATTCACCTTGACATGGTGGTCACGACTTCCTACTACAGCTTCAGGACGTCCATCTAGTAACCATCAATAAGCTGGAGATCGATATTTAGATTATGGGATTAGGGTCAATTTAAAGTGGCTGAATAGCCAAGTAGATTGCCTCGTAACCTAGAGTTTTCAGGTTCGATACTTGGGGGAGGGGGTCATGGGTACATGCTGATGAAGATTCCCGAAAGAGAACGAAGCAGCCATCCTTTATTCCCTGATTCCCAATGATTTCTCTAACTGACATTAGTTAGTGATAAGAATCTAACAAATGAAATTGATCTAAATCCTCACAAACCCATAATTCAATATCAGATGTAGTTTAGTCGTTCAGCGGTTAACAAAAGAGCTAATTTCCCGCCTAATACGTATTTTCGATAACCATAATAATCCGCCATCAATTCAGTATTTAATTACTGTTCTTCTCATCTGTTTCATTTATAATTAAGGTGTTTGTATATTATTACATTTTGTGAATATACCTATTGGCTGAGGACTACAGACTGCCTATTTTCTGTCATGAAACTAAGGCCTATAGTGAAATATAAGAGGTCAAATTATTTTATAAAGTTATCTAACTCAAGTCTCATAGCTGTCAGTTTTATTTAAGTCTATTTGTAAGACAAATTCGAAATTAATAACCCCATATTTAATCATATTTTAATTGAAAGTCAAGAAAGTGGAACTATTGACAAAAAGTAATAGTGAAACACTAACTCTTATAAGCAGGAGAGTCTTTAGGCAACGAACATGAAATGTTATTACTTTGATGATTATCTCACCGATAGATAGTCAAATAAATAAGAAAAATATTAGGTTTTGTAGGGGTTCTCACTCAAATCAATGCAGACTGCGTAAAGAAATTAAATGATTCGAAATCATTACAAAGCCCAGAGTTTGAATGTCATTTTCCTGATTCTTAGTGTCTACACAATCGGCGTCCTCAAGTCCTGTTGAGTTGTTATAGTTAGCGTGGTGTGAAGAGGATACTTATACATGACAGTGGTTGGTGGTAGCTATATATGGAGAGTTGAAAGAAGTTAAAATGTATGGGTCACTGGATTCCAACCCAGCGACTGATTATTCAGTCGGCTCGCCTCGTAACCCAAAGGTCCCGGGTTAGATTCGTGGTTAGATAGCCAGTGCGTACTGCTGAACAGCCTCAAAACACGGACCAAACAGCTGTTCAGTGTCCAATGGTTTTCAGCGGTGATCTAAATGATGTCACTCCGTGGTGTAATTTATATTGAAGAATAACATTTATTTAACCTCGAGAATTCTAGTTGTTTTGTATTTTACTGAGCCAAAATGTTAGGTGCCTGTTGGAACATGAGCTTGTAGAACATACACCTTAATAGCATCTTTAATTTTAGCAGATGGCGGCTCCCAATGCAACATGCATTTTGGATTTTACTTCTGACCACCACCTATGAAAGACCAGTATTTTTCAATCCTAAAAATAAACCACAATAATGGACGGGTTCGGATTTCACAGAGTAGTCTTAGTGTTGGTTTCAGAATGTAGAAACTATCCATAATGTGTTACAAGAGATACTTATGGAGTTTAAGTAACTTGGAATGGTCTTTTTAGCTCTTGAGATGAAAGTTCAAATGTGTTTAAATTGTTTGATTAAAATATTATTCATCTGTGGGTTTTGAATTTGAACTATTCTGTCAGTTTCCGTTTGGGGATTCACTTAATTTCATTTTTTTTTTATTTATTCGGTAGATAACGAAGTTAAAAATTGACTGTAATCCATTCGCTAAAGGATTTCGTGATTCTTCTCGACTTACAGAATTCGAAAGGTTAGTTGCCTTACTCTTTGTTTAACTGTAATAACTGTACACGTCTTATTTGCAGCTGTTTTTCTCCCTTCTTTCATAATAAAAATTTGTTCAGGAGGGGGCTACGAAAGGGAATTTGTTAAACTTTTTATTAACTGACTTCTTGACCATAAAATCAGTACGACGTAGTATTTTAAAACATGCCATTCATATAACCAATTCAAACTAACAAGTTAGGAAAAGGTATGCTATCCCAGTTGAAATGTTCACAATAAACTGTACCATGATTCTCTGTTGACTGATGTGTAAAACACTTTAAGGGAATGGCAGTGGAAAGCTGCTTCTAGGCTGTCCTATAGTGTCATCAAAGTCATCTGTTTTATCACCAACTTCATAAACCTAGAAAACTACAAATTGTACCTGGAGAGCTGGTCTTATACTAACTTACAATCATGAAGACTCATGTTTCCTATGTACTGTAATATCTCCTCCGTATATGCTGGCTATTGTTTTATCAATCTAATAATCCCCATTGTAGCATTAAGAACAAAATATTCAGCGAAGAGACTCTTTTCAATGAATTTATTATCAAGCTGTACAATCGTATATATATGGTTTTTATAAAAAATTATAGCCAGTGAGGGAATTAGGTCAAAGGTGTGAATACATGAAATAATAATAGTGTGAAATGCAATTAAAATATTTGTGATTATAATCATAGTTTAATGTCAAGTGGCAAAATAATTAATGTCGTATATAGAATTATACATAAGGTGTATAGATTTTGGAAAGGGGTACATAATTATAGGATTAGTAGGCGAATATAAAATGTTACATAACATGGTGTGAAATTTGATAAGATAGAATTCAATATTGTAGAAATAAAAATATAAAAATTAATAATTTTGGGTTTAAAATGTCAAGTGGAAAAGATTCAGAGTGAGAATAGTAATAATAATAATGATAATAATATTAATTGTAGTAATAAGGGAAAAGTACGTAGAATAAGTAAATAAACAAAATAAATAAATGTCTATCCTCTACGGCCAAGGCAGAAGTAGGGATTGTACATACTTCTTTTGTACACAAAGGTCTGGCTTAAAGTCATGAATTGCCAAGGCCTCAGCTGTCTTTAGAAGTCTGTGACGAAGAGAACGCGGGAAGTTAGCATGGATTCTATATATGATCTTGAAATCATGGTCAGAGTTGACATAGTGACAGAAGTCGATCAGGTGTTCCAAAATAGAGCTTCGCACACACTTTCTTTCCTCCTTGTAAAACCATGCTGGAATATGTTCTCGTATCCGTGTGGAAAGCGTCTTCTGACTACGGCCAATGTACCTTGTTCCACAAGAGCAGGTGAACTGATAGATGCCCTTATTTTAGGCGGCCAGATGGGGGAGCTTATCTTTTACAGAGGTAGAGAACAACTTGCGGCTAGTGAACGTCATATGTAATTTTGCTGCATAGAACGTCTTACTGACTGATTTAGAGAGACGATTTCTGAACATATCTGAAGCATTGGATTTCATACTATTATTATTTCATGTATTCACACCTTTGATCTAATTCCCTCACCGGATATAATTTTCATAATAAAACCATATATATATACGATTGTACAGCTTCATAATAAATTCGTTGAAAAGAGTCTCTTCGCTGAATATTTTGTTCTCATTGTTTTATTCCCTGGATAGTGTTTAAGAGAATGCATACCTTAATTTCTGCACAGCGTTGAATCAAACAGTATTTTCAACCTGTAAAATGGATATCAGAGTCACAGTAATGAATGCAAATGAGGCCTTACCTCGTTTTCAGTAATCTGTAATTTAAACATGACATACTACTACTACTACCAATAATAGGCTGTACAGAATGGAGTACCTGACAAAGTAAGAAGTAAGGAAGACAGTTAAAATTATGACTTCTTTAGTTGAAAGTCGAAAGTTATTTTTCTCAACAGCCAAAAAAAATAACAAAGACGAAGGGTGTAAGTGAACCGAAATGACTAGATAACGTATTGCCATCCATCCAACGGGAAAAGCATTTTTACAGTGATGGATAAAAATGAATGCGGAATACCTTTCAGTACAGAAGTAAATCTGTGTGTGTGTGTGTGTGTGTGTGTGTGTGTGGGAAAAATGAAATCATGAAATCTCAGTAGTAATAATAAAAATAGTAATAACATATTTCTAACTTTATTTATTTACGTGAGAATCTGTATACAGGAGTCAACTTTTTGATGTAACAATTCACTATGATTAACTTCCATCTATTTGTTACAAATGTGGTCATGTTTAAACACACGTGCGTGTATACATTTCCCAGTATATACTGCATTTAGTAGGCTAGAAAACAGAAGTTGTTGGAAGACAGATAAAGAAGTAAGCTGTACTGTATGCATATTTCACAAACACTCCTTTTCGCAACATATAACATTTTATATCATGCTTACTCTAGTGCAAGATGTTCTTGTTTGCTTGGAAGTACTTCAGTTTTATACTGCAAAGTGAGACTAGCTTCTCTCACCCTCCGCCATCATACCCATTCTCATCATAATAATCACTTTAATATAAACAACGAGACGGTTCCTTAATGACTGAAGTGGTCATACGTTTATATATGCAATGTAAAACTGCATCAATATTACACATTTTGATCGTGTGTGTTTATACAGGCGAGAGGATCATTTAGCATAACTTGACTGAAACTTCTCAAGCTCTTCTTTTCTCATATTTTTCTTGTTATTCATAATTATTATTGACACTCTAGTCTATCTACTATCAGATGAGATGAAACGTAACAAATATAGTCAAAGTTACCCTGTCAGTTAACTAGTACTATAGTGCACGTGTCATATAACCAAAATTCACATTATTTGCTTAATTTGTCTGTATTTGCGTGCCAAAAGTTCTTTTCTATTCAATTTTCTCTCGTTATCTGAGAATATCAGCATATTTATGAATTTCGATAAAATTTAAATTTGGTACAATATGCTTAATCTGAACTATTTGAATACTTTCAAGGCTAAGTCTATCAGTGATGGATTCTTCTTATGAAACTGGAAGGAGAGCACTATGTAGGCGAATCATTCTCTTTGATCACTGTTCGAAGGCTTTCACTGCTTACAACTAACATTAGAATATAAATTACTGTTTAAACTTTGCACAGAAGTGCAATGAATTCAAATTGTCAGTCTATAATATCATGCAAACAGAGAAATAGAGGTAGAATTACTGAGTATTAACAAAATGATTTTTAGTTATAGACCCTTCAGCTGTTCAATACTCCGTGGTTTTTAATAATTCTGTCATTTCAGAATTTCTTCATGAACTGACATCGGTTAGGGAATCATTGTAAAACCTGGGAGTACTGCACAGCCATTTCGTCCTAGTTTGGAACTCTTCATCAGTACTCACCCACCACCACGGTTCGAACCCAGGACCTTCTGGTTACAAGGCTAGAGAGTTCGTAGACCACTTGGCCACTGGGGTCCGATCCAATGGCCAGCCCATGAATTCCAACCTCTGCCACTTCATGATATGGCGTGACCACTAGCGAATGTTATCGCTGGTCACGACTTCCCACCAGAACCCAGGTAACTACCTACCTGAATAGGGCCAGTCACTAGTGAGCATCAGGCTGATATCCAAGTGTTGGTTTGATTTCAGTTAGTGATGGGATATACACTGAAAGAATAAATATGTCTGCCAACAAACACAGTAGATATCGGTCATCATATTTCTTGGTTCGCACTGCTCCTTTGAGATTAGGAAATAACAAACTGTAGTAATTTCATATTCAGAGTAACGCTGCTGTTGGCTGTATCATTTCAGTCTTCTTTTATATTACATTTTATAATTTTATGATTTTTACTGTCATTTAAAGCGTATTCAAGGAAATCTATGCACTTTACGGGACAAATTTATATAGTTATAAAATTTTATTACACTACAACAACAATGATAAAAATTATAATGATAGCTTTATTCTGAAAAGTGGATTTAGACATAATTTTCAGCGAGTTTCATGGTGGACTATTTACCTCTTGTTCAGCAACTTCAAATAATATAATAATCGATAATTTGTCATCTGAAGCAATATCGTTCCATTTCTAGCTATAGGTAGAAACTTATTTGAAATTGTGCGCTAGTATAGACAGCGACTCATTGTGGTAATTAGACAATTAAAACAATATGAAACGGGGTCAATACAGTGTATTTTGATAGAAAGAAAATTTAAGTGGTCCAGTAATTTAAACAGGCAGCTTTATGCTGTCAGTATGTCTTTACTTCTCTCTGATTACCTTCTACAATATTATCCACTTATATAAGTGCGTCAAAAGTTTGATTTCTGAATTATATAACCACAAAAGACAAGAATGAATCCGACGAAACTTTTTTTACATAAGTTAGGTTCATAAAAAAATCTCGACAAACTGATCTCAAAAATCTTCTGAGTAATTTTCCTTGAAGTAGTTGAATTTTCAGTGCTTTTTCTAGGAAAATTTACTCTTTGGTATAGGAAGTTGTTGAATAGATGAGTTTTTGGTTAGTTCAAAGATAATCATAGTCATTAATATTAATAATAATAATCATAGTTAATGGGAGATAAATCATATCAAAAGCCGAAATTAATTTCATTACAAATGCAATAAAATTAAAGTGACTTCATTGTCATGTAGTGTTTTGGTGGCTTAATAAGTCAGATTGGAAGTGAACTCTACTTGGACACTAGGTAATAACTACTGCTATGAATCTAATCCTTTGATTTGTACAAACTGAATTTTGTCGGTCAAGTTTGCAATGTGGCCCCCATGCTGAAAAGCTTGCCATCACGGCGCACACTAAATTATTATTATTATTATTATCAGATGGTTGGAGGCAATCGACAGGAAGCCTTCAACCTAGATGTGCAGCAATCAAAGGATTAGACACATGACACTAGTTTCTACCTAGTGTCCAATCAAAGCATCCATTACAGTCATACAGGAGGTCAATCGCAAGCCAGAATAGCTCAGT